AAATATACCTTGAGCTTTGATGCTAATGCCACTGTTAAGTGGATGTTTTGTATTGGGTTAGCTATGATTTTAGTGGTTGCTCTGACCCAAATAACAAACTTAGATAAGGCATGTAAATGTTCAGTAGCTTACTATTCTATATATGAAACAGAAATGATAATATTCATACCTCACAGGGTTATGAGGAGGATCCGTTGATGACAATATCTTTTAAAAGGAAGGAAAATACTGAATACTGAATTTATCTTTCTGGGCAGGGCAGAGAGCCATATGCCTCTAGTTAGTTTCCTGCAAAAAAATTTAAGTACATTAATCACTTAAACTAAAATTAATTACATTAATCAGTTAAACCAAAACTGTGTAGAACACTTTGAAGCCATAAGACATGATCGGGTGTCTGTATAAGGTCCCTTTGGACTAACATTTGAAAATGTTCTCTCTTTAGGGTTTGCCCCCATCAGTGGAATGTGCAGTAAGTACCGAAGTTGTACCATCAATGAGGACACAGGGCTCGGCCTGGCCTTCACCATTGCTCATGAGTCAGGGCACAAGTAAGTGACCCCTTGATTCACCACTTTATATGAGGACTGGCTGGGCAATTCATTGGCATTCCGCTAGAATGGTAGAATAGGTAGGATAAATCTAGGGTACAGCTTAGGCTAGTACTGGACCACGGGCGCCCGGGTGGATCAGTCAGTTAAAGGTCTGATTTCAGCTCAGGTCATGATCTTGTGGTTCGTGGCTTTGAGCCCCACATCAGGCTCTGTGCTGACGGCTCAGAGCCTGGAGCCTGCTTCAGATTTTGTGTCTTTCTCTTTGTCCCTCCCCTGCTTGAGCTCTCTGTCTCTCTCTCTCTCAAAAATAAATAAACATTAAAAAAATACAAGAATACAAAAAAGAATTGTACTGGGCCATAAGGAGAACTCAATAAAGGCCAGTCATTGTTGACGTGGCTCTTTTCAAACAACATTTCGTGGCTGCACAGAATTACATTGTGTGCATAAATGGACTAGTCCTCTAACGGCTCCTCTGGTCTTTTAGGAATTTCTTCCATGTTTTGCTGCAGTGAAGATACCTTTCGTTCATTACGCCAAGGAAATAATCATGGAGATACATACATTTCCAGACTGTAACAGCATGTTAATTGTTCAAAGACTTGTGATGCACACACCGGATATTCTTGTAGTCGGTGTCACTGCATGTACTTAATATTCTTTTCGTTGGTGTTAGTAAATCTTTCTTTTGTGAGACTAGAGTTCGAAATGAGCAATGAGAAACCTAAGAGCCGTGAGCTGAATTTACAAGGCATGTAATCTGGTGCCAGTGCAGTTCTACAGAGAATTTTCAAACGTTGCTTGAACAGTAGCATCCACATTGGAATAAGCACACTGCTTTACAAGATGACTATTTCAAAGGCCATGCTCTTTGGAGTTTGAGTTTAGGAGTGTTCGCGTGTGTGTCTCATATTCAACACTTATATCGAATGCTCATTTTCAGAGCATTGATTAATTTCTGACTTAAAAATAAAAGCAGGGGCACCTAGGTAGCTTAGTTGGTTAAGCGTCTGATTTTGGCTCAGGTCATGATCTCTCGGTCTGTGAGTTACAGCCCCGTGTCAGGCTCTGTACTGATAGCCCAGAGCCTGGAGCCTGCTGGGAATTCTGGTTCTCCTTCTCTCTCTTCCCCTTCTCCACTTGTGCTCGGTCTCTCTCTCAAAATAATAAATATTAAAAAAAATTTTTTTAAATGTTTATTTATTTTTGAGACAGAGAGCATGAACGAGGGAGGGTCAGAGAGAGGGAGATACAGAATCTGAAGCAGGCTCCAGGCTCCGAACTGTCAGCACAGAGCCCAATGCGGGGCTCGAACTTACGGACCGTGAGATCAGGACCTGAGCCGAAGCTGATGCTCAACCGACTGAGCCACCCAGGTGCCACCCCCCCCCAAATCTTTTTTAATTAAAGCAAAAATTACCTACTTCACGGCTATACTTTATATTGAAATATTTTGGTGCTAGTGTCTCCTGTGAGCATATTATCTTGAAAATTTGAATCCTGACGGTTACCATTACCCAATGGCTTCCCAACATTTTATGTATGTATGCAACCACGTTCTTCGCAAGATATGAATGAACCCATTTTACTGTGAACAGAGGTGCAAAAATGCCTGGTAGGCGCAAGGCCCCTTTGTACAGAGCAGGAAATAAATAGGAATGTCAAACATAGGTCTGAATTTGTTTCTGCTCCTATCTCCTCCTGACCCTGAACTTCCTTACCACAGTTTCACAATTGGTGGCAAGAAAACAATTTGGTGTTGGAAATAAAAGAATTGGATTCTCCCATCATTTTAGTTTAGCTTCGACATCTTGACCAAAAGTTTCTCGTCCTTACACGAAAGCAGACATACCGTTCTTTGGTTTTGTGGCCAAGGCACAATAGAACAAAGCCCTTAGCATTCTTTAGACTTTGCTACATGAACTTTACAGCACTGCAGTTAACATTGGTTTGAACCGCGTACAGGTCTACTTAGATGTGGACTCTTGTCAATAAATACAGTACAGTACTGTAAATATATTTTCCTTATGACTTTTTTTAGTAACATTTTCTTTTCTCTTACTTGATTGTAAGACTACAGTATATAATACTTCTACTATACAAAACATGCGTTAATTGGCCTTAAGTTATTGATAAGGCTTCCAGTCAGCGGTACGCTCTTAGTAGGTAAGTTTGGGGGCAGGTGGAAGTTACACTGGAATTTTCAGTTGAGGTGGGGAGGGTCAGTGCCCTTAACCCCTCTGTTGTTCAAAGGTCAATGATACATAGTAACTCATTTTGGTTTTTTCTTGCAGAAGAAAGATAATTCTTTCTCTCACTTGGGTTCATTGGATGTCAATGCGTCTTCTTTTGATTATAATTTGGAAAATGGGTCACAGAAAGCTTTTTGTTTTTGTTTCCTCCATTTGTTTCAGCTTCGGCATGATTCACGATGGGGAAGGCAATCCCTGTAGGAAGGCTGAAGGCAATATCATGTCTCCCACACTGACAGGAAACAATGGGGTGTTTTCCTGGTCTTCGTGCAGCCGGCAGTATCTCAAGAAATTCCTTAGGTAAGACAAAGTAAAGCCAGGGGTCTTCCCCAGGTTGGAGTGGTGACAGAAAACAGCGCTCAACAGATGTTTAAAATAAATACTCTGGGGATGATGATGGTGGTGGTCGTGGTGGTGGTGATATGGTCATCATTATTGCTGTTGAAAAAATACTTTGAAGGTCTAATTCTGTGCTAAGTGCTCTGCACATGTTGCCTTATTCAGTCCTCATAGCAATCCTGTTAGGATCCTCATTCTCCAGTTAAGGAAATGGAGTCCTAGAGAGGCTAATTGTGTTGTTTAACATCCTATAGCTGGTGAGGTGTGGACGTAAAACCCACACCGAGGTCTGCTCCGATCCAAGATCTATGCTTATAACTATCTCCCCTTTATGACCTCCAGAGGTTGCTAGATACACATTTTACTGTGACTAATTATTTTAATGTGATCAGTTTGATCATAATAGTATTACACATGTTAAAGCGGTGTGCATGTTTTACAATGAGTGGAATATTGGCTTGCTTAGCTATTTTGCTTGAAATGGCCATGAGCTAGCTGTATGTCCAAAAGCCATCCAAAGGAGGTGATAGTCATATAAAATCTCTTTGATAATTCAAAACTCCTGCATGACATTAGTAAAATGGGAGTTAGGAAGGTATCACTATGTGATTCATATTACATGACCCAAAGGTGGAACTCTTTGAAGTTTCCTTTAATTTTGTTCAGCAATAATATATATATTATTTGATATATATATATATACATATATATATATGTGTGTGTGTGTGTATATATATATATATATATATATATATATATATATATATATTTGACCTTTGTAATTAGGACAGCCTTCTAGTTGTTGTTACATATCTCATCATGCTGTGTTGACTCACAAGAACACTCAGGTTCTAATCCCATTTCCCTTTGACCAAATGTTAGGGAAACGAACAAGGTTTCTTTGGGAATTGATAATACTGGTACTCTTTTTTTAAACCTATACTATTACACACTATTTGCAAGTGTTTATGGAATTTGTGATACACAACAGGCAAAGCTGATTAAATGTAAAGATGTCTAGCCAAACGACGTCCTAAAGAACAGGAAAAATTTGACAAGCCTTTTGCCAATGATAAGTTTTATCAAATGGAAGATTTTCTTATTAGTTTTAAGTTTATAATTTGGGGCTTCAAATTATCTTTTCTCTCATGGGAGAGTGGAATCAATGAATATTAATCAAGGCTAACTTAATACAGATTGAATTTCTGTCATCCATATGATATCGTTAAATGTTGGTGATGATGATGATAACAGCTGACTCGAAATGCTTACTCTACCGGGTTAAGCACATTGTCGTCAGTAATGGAATACGTCACAGTTGCTCTTCGGTCTCATGGTTGACTTGGATTCCCATCTGTCCGCCTCCAAAGTCATACTGAACCACCATGCTGTTTGACATCATAGTTTAACGATATCATAGTTTAACCACTTAAGTTGAGTGGCGGGAAGGTGTTTTTTTAACAATATCCATGCCATCAAGATTGATTTTTTTTTTTTACACATCCCAGTTGAGCACACTTGGGGGAATTGTTCTGCTTAGTGCCCCAATTCTTTCTCACGATGCTTACAAAAACCTTGTAAAGATTATTTGAGGTAAAGTACGTCTTGACCACTGCCCCATTATTTATATGTATATATA